GTCTTTAAGTGACACTAAACTCAGGAGTTTACACAAATAGATACATTGTTAATAGTTAAGGGACCTGAATGCATTTTGAAGTTTAAACACCCTGCTGTAGATCCTTCAAATCATCTCTGAATTAGTGCTGAAACTGTCCTTCTCGAGGGTGGCTGCTTTTGTCCCCCCATGGTCATTGGGTGTTGTAAAAAAGCAGCTGCTGCAAGCTCTCTCCCGGGATGCACTACAATCATGTTTTGGTTTACTAATTTGTATGGCGATTGTAGTCCCAGGAGTGTAGTACAGAAGAGGACAGACCACGTCGGCATAAATTGAGATGACTGGAGGATCAACAGCCGAGTGATGTACAATTTTGTTAAACAATGTCCTAGTACTGTTATGTGCCATTTCAATGGCCATAAACACACCATAGATTGAAAGCATGCAGGACAAAATGTAAGACCTCTTAGTTCATGGAAAGTCCACATTACTTTGTTTTGAGGGAATTACAGGGAATGGTACCCAGCTTTTTAAATGGCTCTTTCTAATAAAGGCATCTCTACCAAAACAAAGATTCATCTCTGTAAGGATAATCTTGTTTATGGAAGCTCTCAAAGATTATCTGCCAAGATGGACCTCTAACTCTTTACAGGATATGGTAAAAAATCTAGCAATGATGGTTTCTATGCATGTGAACCCCCCCCCCCAAGGTTATTTCTATTTTCTGTCTTCCAATCGGGGGGAGGAACCCCTGTTGCCAATGAACTGACCAATTATGGAGTGAGACTGAACGTGCAAGTTGTCACCTTCTTTTGCTGTGTGTGTGTGTTGCCCAATTCTGGATGTAATTTGTAGTGCCAAATGGACCTTGTTCCACTGGTGTCACTGTATGGCCTGCTGTAAGGCGAGCCCAGCTAATTGCATTGTTTTCTTTTCTTAGCTCGTAAAGGAGAATTCACCCTGACTTATGAGACCTCTCCCGATCATGTCCCTATTGTTCAATATATCGTACAGTACTTGCTTAAGGATGAGGTGGTGGGAGATGTCATTAATCTCGACTTGGAGAAATGTTTCAAAAACCAGGTACATGGAAACTTGTGTATAACATATGTAGAAGATATGGCCTTGAACGCTCTAAAATGTGTGCATGCTTGATGGACAGCAGACTTGAGTTGG